GGCGCTCATCCTGCCCAACGAGGCTCCTGCTTGGGTCGAAGAGTTTTTTTTTTTTTGTTGGGGGGGGGGGGGTGCGTGGGCGAGCAAGTCCTGTCGAGACCGCAGCTTCCCCTGTCCCCCTCGCAGCCTGACGACGAAGCCGCAATGCGCGCCCAGGGGCACCGCTGCCGCGGACCACATGCCGCCGATCAACGGCGCGCACGAAGGAGAGCACAGCCCGCAGTCGATGCGAGAGCCGCCCCTGTCGCACGCGGCAGCCACGTCGGTTTGAAGGGCCACCGCCCCCACTTTGGACTGGAAGGCTGCCTCTTGGGGCGTCTGGCACGGCGTGTCGATGTCGCCCGGCACCGGCCGCGGGGCAGCCAGGGACGTCAGCAGCGCCCCCGACTTAGCGAAGCGCCCCAAGTTGCCGTCAGTCAGCCCAGCCTAGCCCGCAGACGCCGTAGAAAACTGACCAGCGCGACATGCCGCTGGCCCTTGAGGCGGGAGATGCCTGCCTGGAAATCGCCCGCGGACGCCGAGCCTGGCGCTGCCAAGGCAGGGCCATCACCTCCGCTCAACGGGTGGGTGTAGTGGCTGCGCCTGCAGACAAGCCACCCCCCACCCTCAGTGCCCCCTCCCCGAAACTGGCGCCCTCCAAGGTAGGCTTTGAGTGCTGCCAGCGCCCTGGCTGCCTTGAGCTTCACGCGAATCTCCTTGGCCCGCACAGCGAGCTCAGCCATGCCCCTGTTGAGCTTGGTTTCGAAGTTGGCCATCTCCCCCTGCTCGGCGGGGTCGAGCTCCTGCGCGTCCTGGAAGATGCTCGGATCCCACGAGAGGTGGAACATCTCGCCGTCAGCGTCACCTCCCGCCTCGGACTGATCAGCCTCGGCGGCCTGACGAGCAACTGCCGCTGCTGCCGTCCTCTTGGCCGCTTCGGCTTCGGCCAACTGGATGGCCACCTCGGCCTCGCGTGTCCGCGCTGCCTTGAGCTGTTCCTCTAGTCTCACAACGCTGTCGACCGCGCCTTGGTGCTTCCTCGCCACCTCCTTGCACAGGCCCGCTGCCCGCCTGAAATCGTCCTGGAGGGGCGTGGGCTCGGCGGAAAGTGAAGGCAGCTCAAGCAGTTTCTTCACCAGGGCGATCGCCGCCGCTGCCTGTGGCTGGTCGGCGTTCTCCTTGGCGGCCAGCTCTTTGAGGAGGTCGCCGAGGCCCGCCGAAGAACGCGCCGAGGGCTTCAGCGCTTCTCGTGGGCCAGCAGCAGCCGCACGCCACGGCGGGGAACGTTCGCCTGAGCCGCTGCGCATGGCCGGAGGACCTCTCGACGACCCCCGCCTCCGAAAGGGCACGACCTGGGCGCCGCATTCGCACTTCCACGCGACGTCGCCCCAGACAGCGTTCCATGTCCAGGACCTGCAGTTCGCGCACTTCGTCCAGTCATCGAGGAAGTGGGCAACACGCGACTGCCGTGGGGTCGTCGTGCCAGCAGCCCTCGGCGCAGAACACCTCGGGCGCCGACTCATCTCCTTTGCTCCGTATCCGTCGGGGCAGACCTCAGCGCCAGCGCAAGGGCAGCCCGTAACCAAGAACGCCTCGAGAAGGCTCGGAACAGGTCCAAAAGTGCCGCTGCGGCGCTGTTGAACCAGAACGGTTCTTGGGAGGAGGAGGAGGAGGAGGAGGAGGAGGAGGAGGAGGAGGAGGGAGAAGAAAGAGCAGGCCACAGAGTGGAGGAGGAGGGGGAGGAGGAGGAAAAGGGGAAGAGGAGGGAGGTCCAAGTCCAGCAACCCTAACCGAGAGGAGTGGAACGAGTGGAGCTCGCCCTCGAGTTCGGAGGAGTCGCAGCGCCTGCGTGCGCCACGGCCTCTCGATCGGCCATCTGGCGAGGGGAAATGTTGGGGGGGAGGCCATGGTGCCAGTCAGCGAGCGGAGAATCAACGAAATGATGGCTGGCCCAGGGCGGCCAGAGCCCCGGGCCCAGGGCGGAGCTGCGCTGGAGTGCGAGCCCGAGCATCTCCGGCAGGCAGGCGGCAAGCGGGACGCCACCGCGGCCGCGGTGGTGGCGGCGGAATGGGCCCTCGACCTGCGGGCACTGCTGACGGAGGCAAGGCAGGCCCGTGAGAAGGCCTCGGTGCAGGGCCTCGTCTTCGACATCACGGTCGAATGCATGGACAGGTGGAGGTCCGAGCAGCGGAAGACTCGGACGCGGAGCTCTTCTGCCAAGTGCGATGAGGCGGTGCCCCCAGTCGCGGGCACCCCACGTGCTCTGCTCGTCCTGAGGCCGTGCAGGTCGAGCGAGCCCTCGGGCGGCGGAAGTGGTCTATGCGCCACCCTAGGGCCCGCTTCTTTCCACTCGCTTCTTTCCTCTCGCTTCTTTCCTCCTCCTCCTCCTCCTCCTCCTCCTCCTGCTCCTCCTCCTCCTCCAAGCCCCCCTTCACCCGTGGGGGGGGGCGATGACTCCTGAGAACGTGTACAACGATCGGCGGCGAGCGAGGGGGGGGGAAGTGAAAAAGAGAAGGCCTTCTCAGATGGTTCGGAAGTTCCCCGGCCTTCTGAGAAGTGGATTAAGCCTTCCCCGAAGAACTTCTCAGAAGGCGCGAATGCTTCTGAGAAGTCCCGCCGCCTTCTGAGAAGACCTTCTCCTTTTCATTTCCACCCCTCGCTCGCCGCCGAATCGAAGATCACACGCATCGGTGAAGATGCGCCCGTCGTCGATGCCCCTCTCGTGCCAATCCGAACGACGGAGGTCTGACTGAGAAGGGCAACAATGTATGCGCCTTCACCCCTTGCTCCGAGTCTGCCCGAGCGGGGCCCTCTTCAAGTACAGACTGCAGACTAGTTGAAGGTCGGACATGGGCTGATTCGGAAGAAAAACTAAAGAAGCCAAGGGACACACAAACAAATAGACACAACTCCTTCAGACATGTCCTCCTACATGCTGAATTGAACAATGAACCAGAATCTACAAATAAGCCAACGTAGACAAAATAACACGAGATCTCCGGTAACTACTTAACAATATTTCTAATTCGCGCGCGCGCGGCGGCCCCTGGGGGGGCCCGGACGAAAAGTACCCAGGCCGATACCTGGCCGGGTCCCAGGCGATCCCCAGGGGGGAGGCTATTTTTCGCCACCCCTCACGAGGATCGTGGCCTCCGAGGGGGGTCTGCAATCGACTACCCCCCCTCCCGCCCCAAGGGGCCCCCAAGAGCCCTCCAAGAGGCCCCAGGGGAGCCCAATACGCCGCCAAGGAGCCCCAAGACGCTCCCAAGAAGCCCCCAAGAAGCCCCCAAGACGGTCCCAAGAGGCCCCAAATAGCGCTCCAGGGCCGGCGGAATGAGCGAAGCAATTCAACACGCAAAAGTAGACAAAAGAACACGAAACATCGTCCCAAGGCTATTTTCTACGATCCTTGAGGATTCTTATTACGAGGGACATGCCCGAGTTAAAACTGATCGATCGGTCAATATTGCTGTCAAGAGGAACATGCCCGACTTACAATTGGGTCGCTCGGCCATCGCGCCGCCAACCCCCACGCACTGACAGCGTGCCCCCGACTGGGGCCCGAACGCCGCACACCCTGCGGCGCGCCACACGCGGTGGAGGGGGCCACACCCTGCGCCGCGGGCGGCTGTGTGGGGCAGGGACCCCTTCCCTTCGCGGGGGGCCATGACACGAACAGTAAGTCGGACATGTCCCTCTATCGGAAGAATGTTCAAGAGAATGGGAAAAATAGGATGGTGGCGATGTTTGGTGCTCTTTTGACTGTTGTTCACGATGGTTTGACTATCTCTGATTTTTCTTTCAGGGTGCGCATGTAGGAGGACATGCCCGACCTAACACTAACACCGAAGACTTCGCAGCCTTGCGGCAAGGCTCTTGCCCCCCCCGGGCGGCGCTCTGCTGCCACCGGGGGGGACGCAGAAACCATCAAGCTCCTGGGTGGAGGGGTCATCCCGAGGGAGACGGGGAGGACTTGAGGCAAAGTGGCTCTGGGGCGCCTTCACACCTTCAGTGGGCCGAGGTTCCTGGAGTCACCACCCTGTAGGGCACGCTGGCAGGACGGTGCGAGTGGCCTGAGGCTGTGGCCCAGACCGCACAGAACAAGGCCGTTCTGGGCTAGGAACCGACCAGAATCGCAGGAGGGCCGCAAGAGGGTCCAAAGAGGGCTCCCAGGGCTCGAGTAGGGGATCGACTTCAGAATTGGCTTTCCCCAGAACTTGTTTTTCCTCGCACATATTTTGGGAGAAGAAGGAGGGGCATGAGAGAGGGGACGATCGCGCCAAGCCATCACGTACGCGATTGCCCACTGCGCAGTCCAATCGGCTGCGTCCCTAAGTCGACACCCTCAGGCCTGATACTGACAGCGACTGGAGTAGGAGAGGAGACGGAGGACCTGAGACCAGACAGTGGCGCTGTGTGTGCATCAATCCCCATATGGTCCCATCGACCATTTATATAACGAGGCCTCACACAACGACACAAAGAAGGAAAACTTACAGTGCAAACTAAGTTAAAGCCAATGCGGCGAGGTGGATGATAGAAACCATCCCCGGACCGGGCACGCTGAACTGTACCTTGCGTGCGGGAACGCCTCAATAGAGTGAGACAGCAAGGCTAAGAGTTGCCTCCAAGCGCAACTGAGTGACTGAATAATGGACGAGGCTGTCCACACGGCCAAGACGCGTGGAGGCGGCAAGCCAAAGCGGGCAGCGCGAACGAGCAGCGGCTCTCCAGAGGGAGCGGCCGACAAGACCGGGTGGCTTATGGCCCACCCCCGAATGCAGCCGCTGCATGCGCCAAAACTGTTTATATCGTCGAACCTGCGAAAAATACGCAGAATGTTCCTTTGATGTGCGGAGAATTGTACGAATGCTTCGCATAAACTCGACGGGGAAATAAATTCAAGGGTACATCAATCCTGTAGTTGATCCTCTACTCGAAAGGCGGTCACAGGATGGCCCACAAGGAAAATCAACAGCGTAGGGAGGAAGGAGGGCGGAGGGGGGGACCGCCTGACGAGGCTACGCTCCCCTTTCCTTAGTGAACGGGTCTCCGCGGAGCTCCTCGGGGCGGTCGCATCGGCTGTCGCGCCGCCGCAACTGCTCGGGCACCTCGCGGCCGCGCGCCTGCAGCAGCGCCTCGATCGCCTGGTACTCGGGCGCCAGAAGCCGCTTCAGGCCCCGGATGACAGACCTGCTGTGGACAAAGGCGAATACGGCCAGACCTAAGATAGAAACACATCCCTCAGAAACACGGGACCCTCCGCCGGCCAACACACACACATGACATCCAAGGGTACCCTCCCCAGGGTGCACAATAACATCCAATAAACACCAAGAGCACTAGGGTGCCCTCCCTGAACCGACCTCGATCTTATTCCTCGGTCCGACTGCACGGCCGAGACGCTGAACGCCTCGCCCTGGGGGGACGCTCGGGCCATCTTCAAGAGACGTGCCCAACCAATCTGCACCAAAAGGCACATCAGCGGGCACATCAAGAACGAATGAATAGTTGGAAGGTCGTGCTTTCCCATTGTGACGACCGCGCGGGGAACTGGTGCAGCGTACGACTACACGGGTCCTACTGTCAAGGCGCTTAAGTGAGGACCACTTCGGGCTCAAGAGGGGCTCTGGTTAACGGGTCGTTCCTTAGATCTAGATCAAGGGACCAAGTCGTGAACTAGTCGTGGATCCTGGGGGCTCTTCCCCCAAACACATTGGGCACACCTGGGGAACAAGGGGGGCACCCTCCTCCAAAGGGGGGGGATTCGAACCGTGCCCCCCCCCTGCCCTGTTCTGAAGGAGGGGAAGGTGGAACTGGGGATGCCTCTACCCCCGCCCTGAGTGCAAGGGAGGGGGGGTCGAACGAGGGGGGCCCACCCCCATGTCCAAGGGGGGGGGGGTCGAACCCCAAGGGGGCCCCGCAGGGGGGCCAAGGGGAGGAGGCCGGACAATTGGTAGCTCCTGAACATGTTTACAACCAAACCGCCCAGACATATCACCCCCAATGCAAAGACGGGGACCTACTTGAGACCACGTCTTCACTATGTCTTTTGGATTAGGAGTTCTTCAAGGAAAGACCACAACGACGTAAATGGCGCTTACAACGAAAAACGAAACGGAATCCAACGTTTACAACGAACGTTCAAAACAAAGCGAACGACGAACGAAACACATGACAATGCCCACATCGAGCTGAACGGCATTGTGGTCAGTTATTGGGGTTCTTCCACGGCCGGAACTAGGAAAGAATCACATCCTCCAGGAACATGAGACCCTCGGCCGGCTGAGCTGAAGAACATTCGAAGGGACCTTCCCCCAGGATGCACAAGAACACCCAGCAGACACGAAGAGCAGCAGGGTACCCTCCCCGAACCGACCTCGATCCTGTACCTCGGCCCGATCGTACCCCTGGTGCCTGGGGCGCGCAAACATGGATTAGCGATCCATGGATTCGGCGCACGGTCGCCAAACCCATGGATCGGGGGGGAGGTGCTTTTGCCAAAGTGCGGCCAGTGCCGCCTCGCTCGGCGCCGGAAATCCGCGATTCCCCGTGGAAACGGGACCCGTCGCTAATCCACGCCCCCATGAGTACATGCTTCCGATCGCCCGACGATGGAGCGCGAGGGGCGCCCCCTGCGCGGGCAGCCTGCGCAGACGAGCGCGGCTGCGCAGGCACGGCCCCGCCGACACCGAGGCAACCGGAGCACTGCAGCAAAGCGGCACCGCGGCGTGAGCACAGTCCCGAACCCACTCCTGGGCAGCGGGCGGGAGCGACCCCGACGTGTAGCAACAGGCGATGCGGATACCCTCACACTGGGGAAACGAACAGGCACCGATACCGCCACTCCCCGGACCTCTCCTGGGGAGCGTTCTGACCAGGATTTCGGGACGAATCCAGGGGTGGTGACAAGGGCCTCCAAGGAGGCCCAGAAAGAGGAGAACGAGGCAAGGGCAGATGTATGTGTACCTTCTCCTCCTCTGAACCCCGACGTGTAGCAACAGGCGGTGTCAATCCCCTCATGCGAGGCGCATCGCTGCGATACAGCTGCTGCACGGGAGGAGGAAGAGGAGGGGAGGACTCATCCCCTTCCTCTTCCTCCTCGATCCCTCGAGGGACAGGGTCGACGATGAAGGGTCGAGGGCTGGAGATCGAGAGTCGAAGGTCGGCCCGAGGTAGGCGCCCCGCCCCAGCAGGAGGAGGGGGAGGAGGAGGAGGAGGAGGAGGAGGAGGAGGAGGAGGAGGAGGAGGAGGAGGAGGAGGACGGAGGAGGGAGGAGGAGGAGGAGGGAGGAGGAGGAGGAGGAGGAGTGAGGAGGGAGGAGGAGGGAGAGGAGGAGTGAGGAGGGAGGAGGAGGAGGAGAGGAGGAGGAGGAGGAGGAGGAGAAGGAGGAGGGAGGAGGAGGGAGGAGAAGGAGGGGGAGGAGGGAAAAGGGCCCGCTTCGTCTCTCTTGCTTCGTGCCCGCGGCGGGCCTGGCCTGTTGTGGCACAGCTCCGTGCGGTGCCCGCGGGCGGAGTTGTAGCGCCCGAACTCCGACCCGGCACCGAACGGCCGCTGCCCCAGGAAGCCCGCGATGCCTCACGAGCGGCGAACGCTTATGCTACATCCTCGGGGGACCTGGTCTGTCCCGTCGCGGCCCTATCCGCGTCGAATCCGTGTCGAATCCATGTCGGACTCGTCGAATCCGCGTCGAACCCACGTCGACTCCGCGTCGGACCAAGGCCAGATCCGCGTCGATTCCGCATCGAGTCGAATCCGCGTCGAGGGCACAAGAAACCAATTTGGGGACAGGCGAGGCCCCCCACAAATGCAACGTAACGAACGCATCCATCCCAGACATGCTCGCGTCCTGAAAAGACACGACGGGAGGTTCTTGTGGCCGTGTTCGGTCTCCGAGAGCCTGGTCCTGGGATGAATCAGCCTGGCGAAAGACCCAACCATGTGCACTTGTGGGTAGCGCAGTTGTGGGTATCGCCTTGGGTGGAGCTCCTTTTGGGCCACGAAACGCTGTGCTGGGTGGGGGAGACGCATGCGAACTTTGCCACTGGGGCCTTCGGTAGAGCTCCCTATCGGGCAGCGAGACGCTGTGCTAGGTGGGGGGGGCGCATGTGGACACCGCCAATGGGGCCTTAGGTGGAATTCCCTCTGGGGCCACGAAACGCTATGCTGGGTGGGGGAGACGCATGTGGACACCGCCACTGGGGCCTCAGGTGTTCTTCTCTATGGGGTCACGAAGCGCTGTGCTGGGTAGGCGAGACGCATGTGGGCAACGCCACTGGGACCTTAGGTGGAGCTCCCAATGGGGCCACGCAACGCTGTGCTGGGTGGGGGAGACGCATGTGGACACTGCCACTGGGGCATTAGGTGGAGCTCCCTATGGGGCCACGCAACGCTATGCTGGGTGGCGGGACGCATGTGGACACCGCCACTAGGGCCTTAGGTGGAGCTCCCTATGGGGCCACGCAGCGCTGTGCTGGGTGGGGGGGGCGCATGTGGACACTGGACACCGCCGCTGGGGCATTAGGTGGAGCTCCCTCTGGGGCCACGAAACGCTGTGCTGGGTTGGGGCGACAGAGGCAGGGATGGGAAGATGGAGGAGGGGGAGGAGGAGGAGAGGACGACGAGAACGTGGGGCGCTGTCCCTTCGAAACGAGGACCCAACACCGCAGGATGGTTGGGAAAAACCAAGGTCCTGGGGAAAAGGGTCGGGACTTCCAGGGACCCTGAATATACACAAGCGCGCTCCACTACTCGCAAAGTACCTACTCGCAAATGGCCAGGATCCGCCGCGGGAGATTTTCGATACATTCCATGGAGGCAAACAAATATTCACTCGAACGTTTGCGAGTAGGCGCTTTGCGAGAAGTGGAACGCGCTCGGCGAGTAGAATGAAAGCCCAAACATCGCATGTCTGAGATATTCACGCCCTCGCGGTCTGGATGCCAGGGCGCGATCCCGCGGATACGCGGTCGCGCAGCCACGTTCCGCGCGGGGCATCCGCAAAAAAGCGCCCCGTATCCGCGGGGTCGCGTCCCGGGGGCACGGCTCGCGAGGCCGCAGACGCAGATGTATTTTTCGCCCACGAATGCCGTCGTAAGCAGCGCGCCCAGCCAAGCGCAGGGACTCCTGCCGTTCAGGGCTTGACGACTTCTGCTGCCCCTCGACTCGCACTGGAGCTTTCGCGATGTTGTTCAGGTGTCCTAGGGTAGTTTGGACGTGCCTGACGTGCCTAGATGTGAATGGATTGACGTAGATGTAGGTGGAGTTACCTTAATTTGCATGTAGCTGTGTCTCGATCTACCTGGCGATGTTCCCCGCGAGCCGATGGGCAAAATGCCGTCGGGCCCTCCGCATTCCTGGTGCAAGATCCAGAGCCGCGGCCCGAAGAGCGCGTCCATGCTCCCGAGGTCCTGGGCGACGTTCCAGTGCTCGATGAGCTCCGGGTACTGCAGGGCCTCGCCGATGCGCTCGAAGCAGCGCCCGTTGCGCTCGGGGCCGAACGTCACCGGGTCCTTCCTCCGGAGGGCGCCAGCTCTGAACCTGCACCGATGCTAGCCAGGCCCAGGCCCAGGCTCGAGCGGTCGTCGTCCGTCCTCGCTCGGCCAGGAGGGCGTTTGCACTGATCCTGCGCCCAGGATCGGCCTTGCCAGGATCCATGCTGGGGCACAGTTGGCGCCCTTCGACTCCTGTCCAGCGGCCCCCGCTTTCTGCAGAGGTGCATCTCCCAGAACACCTTCTCGAAGCGGCCGAGCGGGTCGCACACCACGGACACGACCTTGAGGCCGGGGACCCGGACCAGCGCGTGCCGGGCCCGGGCGTAGTGCGACAGGCCCGGATGGCTCAAGCCGCGCGCCATCCTGGCATGAGGAGAGTGTCGGACAGCAGCACCAGAAGACCTCCAGCGGCTGTTGAATCGCTCGACCTCATGTCTGTACGGTAGGATCTTGTTATGCTGGAAGAAGAAGTCATCCTCCTCCGACTTGGTGAAGACAATCCGACACCGCGCTTGCAGACGGATCGTAAGTGTCGGACCCTGAACAATGTTGTAGTAGCTTGAGAAAGGACCCCGAAACATCGAGCCCAACACGCATATACTTCTTTGACATACACAAATGCTTTTGTACTCCTTTCGATCCATAAGTGCGGCTGAAACCGAATGTTCGCACATGAGCCCCGATGGCCCCATGGCACGTTCACCCCGAATGGCATCTCCCTTCCCACCCACCTCCGTCCCCCAAGGCACACGCCCTACAACGCGGGGGCGGAACCACGCGGCAACTCAAGCGGATATCTGGGTGTTTCTCCAAGTTCTTCAGCAGCGAGGTGCTCCTGGAAGAAGAGCAAACTGCACGAACATCAGCTTTCGGAGGCCTGCGGGACTCTCTTGAGTCTACGCTGGACCCCAGTGGCGGCGACTCCGGCGCCGCCCCCTGGTGCGCTTCGCGCGCCAGGGGAGGTGGGTACAGCGCCGACCCAAGAAAACCGCGAGGACCTGCGATAGTGCATGTCCGTGTCGATATTTTGGCACGTCGAAGGTGGGTCCGACAAACACCGAGCACGATGCCCAACAACAAACGCCGACCGAAACTGACAGCGGACGCTGTGTGGCAGGCTACCTTTTTCACTTCAAGTGGACCACTTTCGCGGCGACACCGACGACGAGCAGCGCACCCCTCTTCACAATGATGAACTGCTACTGTTCGGTCGGGCATGTCCTCCTACAGGCGGATTCTTGAAAATAAATTCAAATCGTCAAACAAGAATCAAAGCAGTCAAAAGATCACGGAAAATCATCGCCAGGCATTGTTTTACACGACTTAATGCTACTATTGGGTCGGGCATGTCCTCCTACAGGCGGATGTTAGAAGGAAAATAGAGTTCATCAAAACATATGGACAACTAATTACACAACAAATGCAAACATCGTTCCCAAACTATTGTTGAACTATTTTTGAATATTCCTGCTGTGCAGGGACATGCCCGACTTAATGCTACCGGCCTGCATCCCCACTCTTTCCATACAGCCGTCATGTTACTCTGAGGAATGGCAAGGGCTCTTCTGGCCACGGCGCGCCTCGGTTACGCAGAGTATCCCCCCACCCAGGTCACGGGAGCGGCCTGCACACAAGCCCTTCCCGAGCCAAAAGTTATTATCCTACAATGGGGACCCATGCCAATAAACACCCTGCTTGCCTCCAGGGTGCCCTTTAGGCTTCTTGGGTCTCGATGGTTTTGCCATGGAAGTCGTGACGTTCCCACACCAGCAGTCACAGGACGTCCTGGGGTCTCAGGTATGGGTTTCTTGTGGAAGTGTTTTGTGGTCGAACTCCAGCTGTACGTTCAGAGTCTTGACTGCACCCAGTCAAACCGTGCCGACTCGTATACTTAAACAAAACAGGGCGGCACACACGCACACGTTCGGAGGTCGGCGCAGACAGTTTCTGAATCAGCGCTGGGTCCCCATCCCAGGCGCGCTGAGCGCACCAGGGGCGGCGCAAGAAGCGCCGCCAATGGGGCGCAACACCAATCCCAAAAATCCCGCGCGGACCTCCGAGAATTGTGAATGCCGTTCTTTCTTCCATATTTAGAGGCCTCCCACATGGGGTTGGAATAGACAAGGTCGGAGAATCGCGCCATGTCGACGTTGCATCACCGATGCATCGGCGACGTCGGCGATGCATGGGCGCCGTCGGCGTACGGAAAAGCGGCTCCACATCGAGCTGCAACGCCGATGCATCGGCGATGCAGCGCAATCCTCCGACCCAGTCTGCTCCGACCCCATCAGTTGGTGGCGCGCACCAGGGGGTAGGGGGGGGAGAAGGCCTCTTGGAAGGAGGCTGCTTTTCAGAAGGCGCCAGCCCTACATCGATAGATGAGGCCCACGCCTTCTAAAAAGCAGGGTGATTCAAAGAAGCCTTCCCCCCCCCCGTTCCCCCCTCTGTGCGTGGCTGAACAGAGAGGTGCTCCCGCAGCTGTTGATGCCAGCGACGACGAAGTCCAGGCCGAAGCGCGACCAGTGGGAGACCTCCGCCACCTCCGCCGCGGGGGGCAGCGGCGGGAGACGCACGTCGAAGCCCAAGAAGTGCGCCAGGAAGCGGGGTATAACCTCTGGGGGCGACCAAGACGATGGCTGACGTCCCACCACCACCACTACCATAGGTAGGAGAAGGAGGAGAGGGAGGAGGAGGAGGAGGAGGAGGAGGAGGAGGAGGAGGAGGAGGAGGAGGAGGAGGAGGAGGAGGAGGAGGAGGAGGAGGAGGAGGAGGGGTCGGTTCGGCCGCCCCCGACGCGCGTGCCGCTCCACCACCTTCGGGGCCCGCGGGAGCAATTCTGAGGCCAGTTGGGGCTGCCTTACCGCAGTCCGCGATTCCCCCCTCCCCCCCGTAGTCTGCCCCACCGCCAACGTAGGGTGACGATTGAGATGCAGTGGGGACCCATGCCAAGAAACACCCTGCTTGCCTCCAGGGTGCCTCGGGTTTCTTGGGTTTCGATGGTCTTGCTGTGGAAGACATGACGTTCCAACGCCAAGAGTCAACGGACGTCCTGGGGTCTCAGGATTGGGCTTCTTGTGGAAGGTCCCTTGTGGTCGAGCTCCTGCTGTAGGGCGAGGCGAGGGGGACGTCACGGAAGGGGACGGTTTGCTAGGGGTCGGTCAGGCCGCCCCCGACGCGCGTGCCGCTCCACCGCATTCGGGTCCCGCGGGGGGGCAAATTTCGAGGCCGTTTGGGTCCGCCTTCCCGCAATCCTCGATCCCCCCCGATTTCTGCCCCCCCCGACTACTTAGGGTGACGATTGAGGTAAGAAGCACGGGGGGAGAGGGCAAAACATATAGTAAAGGCTCGACCACAAGGAACCTTCCACAAGAAAACCAACCCTGAGACCCCAAAACGTCCATTGAGTTCTGGCGTGGGAGCGTCGCGCTTTCCACAGCAAAACCCTCGAAAGCCAAGAAACCCGGGGCACCCTGGATGCAAGCAGGGTGTATCTTGGCATGGGTCTCCATTGTGATCTCGCTGATGACGGCGCCCACGAGCAGGCGCGGGACCCAATTGATCAGTCGTCTCCCAGGGCGCTGATGCGCGACGGGCCCTTGACGCAGTGCTGCGTCTCGACGAGGCAATTTCCGCCGCGCGGACTGAGCCCTCCCTCCAGGGGGGCCACACCAAGACGCCCACGAGGCGGCCACGGAGGGCAAGCCGCCGATCAGGGGGCCCTCAGAACTCGCCCTCCCTCCATGTGGCGGACCCCGCGCGGGGGGTGCCTCCCTACTGGACGTCCAAAAACCGACGCAGCAAACCACTGCCGCCCGATGGATGCAAAAGAAGCCCCCTCCAGGCATCGCTCAATCGCCATCCGACATCCACAGACAGCCGACGACATGTTTTCGACAGTCCGCGGCTCCAGAGGTCCCGGTCCCGACCCCTTCCCTAGGCCCAGCTTTTCGCCCGCGATCCATGTCTGATGACCCCAGGGCCCGATGATGCGGATGTTGCTAAAGTGCACTGGCGCAAGCTACCCCCAGGATTTCCAAGGCCCCAACGGCCTCCAAAGAACCCCTCACACGGCTCAGAGGTCCCCAGGGCCCGTAAAATTGAACGAAAAGCTGGGGGTACCTTGGGCCAGGGGCACCTGGAGCAACCCCAAAATGATTGGCCATGTAGGCCAAAACCGGGGAACAACGCTCGGATTGGAAAACAGTGCAGTCGTCGGAGATCTGGGCTGCCGAGCGCCCGAGGCGGGCCTGGGCACTGGGCCTGGACCCGTGCCAAGCGCACTCTCTTCAGGGGGGGGGGGGGACCAGCACAAACACGAAGCACATGTCCATGGAAGGGTGGGAAACATGAAGAATGGGGGGAAGCGGGACATCCGCGACGGATGGAACCATTAAGAGATCCTGGAATTCGTGTCTAATTCACTCGTACCCCGGGGGCCCCTTGATGTATGTCCCCTTCCGCCCGAGAGCGGAGCCTCCCCGGCGACGCGGTCGCGGTCACAGGACGCGGGCGCGCAGAAGCCCCCGTTCAGCAGCCTCGGCATGAGGGCCACTCTGGACAGCATCTCCTCTCGGGACGGGTGAGATCCACCACCGTGCCTTGTGCACGTTGAGGCGTGGAAGAATGCCAAGGGCTGCCTGGTAGGGCTTGCCTTCTGATAAGGGACCCCCCTCGCGTCTCCTTGCATACATCGCCGCCCCTCCCGAAGCTGCCACGATCCCTCGTAATATATGACCTCGTGCGCTGAAAGACGATTGTTCGACGTATGCGATATGGGGGAAGCTCACTCACAAACGTGTACTTCGAAACCCGACGCAGCAAGTGCTCTGTGGGTATCCCTTTGGAGCCAAACTGACGCGTGCAAATCAGGCGGGTGCCACAGCGGGTGGAGGGCACGGCGGCATCTACGGTGGCTCGTGGTAAAAACAATTGCTCGCACACGAACTTACGCAAATCCTCAGCCTTCACCTTGATCTCGTCGCGCACGCGACGATACGCAAACAAATCCCCAGGGGTCATCCAGGTTCCAGTCCTTCTTGCCGCCGTCCAGCTTGTCCCCGCAACCGCAACGTGAAATCACGATGACGAGATGACGAGGTCGCCGTGCTGAGCGTGGGTCTGGTGGTCGTTTCGGCGCCCTTCTTCGGCAAGGAGAAGATTGGGAACCCCCAAACCAGGTGGTGAGATACCAGGTGGCGACCTGGAATCCCCCAAAAGGTCACCGCTGGGTTTGGGGACACGGGGTCACCACCGGGTTTTGTGACTCCTGGACCCACCAGTGTTCGGGACATCCTCGGAAAACCGCACGAGTCCCCAAACCGGGTGGTGACACCAAATCGCCCGAGACTCACCGCCAGGTGTTGTCACCACCACGTTTGGGGACTACCAAGAAGAAAAAATAAACTGGAACCAAAACTGGAACCGGAACCGGAACTGGAACGAAAACCAGAAGGGAAGAGGGCCGCAAAAAAAGAAACCCAAACTGGAACCAGAACTGGAACCGGAACCGGACCGGGGACCTGGAGGGCCCCCCGAACCAAAGAAGAAAAAAGAAACCGGAATCAAAACCAGAACCGAAACTGGAACCGTGACCTAAGAAGCCTTCTTCGGGACGCGGAAGAAGAAAGAAACCGAAACCGAAACAGGAACCAGAACCAGAACCGGAACCACGACGACCGTCACGGACCAAAGAAAAAGAAAGAGAAGAAGGAAACCGGAACCAGAACCGGAACTGGGAACCGGAACCAAAACCGTGACCTGAGGGGTCTTCTTGGGAACCCCCGAAGAAGAAGGAAACCGGAACCACAACCGGAACCGGAGCCAAAACCGTGACTTTGGGGATCTTCTTTGGGACCCCGAAGAAGGAGGAAACCTGAACCAAAACCTGAACAAAAACCATAGCCGTGACTTGGGGGGGCTTCTTTGGTTCGCCGAAGAAGAAGAAAACCGGAACCAGAACTGAAACCAAAACCGTGACTTTGGAGGTCTTCTTTGGGACCCCGAAGAATAGAAGAAACTGGAACCCAAAACGGAACCGGAACCAAAACCATGACCTGGACGGTCTTCTTTGGGACCCCGAGAAAAAAGAAACCGGAACCAAAACCGGAACCGGAACCAGAACCGTGACCTATGAGGCCTTGTTCGGGACGCGAGAGAAGAAGGAAACCGAAACCGGAACCGGAACCAAACCAAAATTTGAGGCGTCCTTGGGCACAAAAAACAGAAAAGAAACCGAAACCAGAACCGGAACCAAAAACCACGACGACCGTCACGGACCAAAGAAGAAGAAAGAAACCAGAACCAGAACAGGTTAACCGGAACCAAAACCGTGACCTGGGGGGTCTCCTTAAAAAAGAAACTGGAACCAAAACTGGAACCAAAACCAAAACCGTGACTTGGGGGATCTTCTTTGGGACCTCAAAGAAGAAGGAAAGCGGAACCTGAACCGGAACCAAAACCGTGACTTTGGAGGTCCTTTTTTGGGACACGAAGAAGAAAGAAACTTGAACCGGAACCTGAACCGGAACCAAACTTTGAGGGGTGGGACACCGAAGAATAAGAAGAAAAAACCGGAACCAAAACCGTAACTGGAACCAAATTAGTAACTTGGGGGGGTCTTCTTTGGGACCCCAAAGAAGAAAGAAACCGAAATTGGAACTGGAACCAAACCAAAACCGTGACCTTGAAGGTCTTCTTTTGGACCCTGGCCGAAGAAGAAAGAAACCTGAACCTAAACCTGAAGCGGAACCAAAACCGTGACTTTGGATAGCTTCTTTGGGACCCCGAAGAAAAACGGAACCGGAACCAGAACCGGAACCGGAACTAAAACCGTATTTTGGGGGGTCTTCTTTGGGACCCCGAAGAAAAAGAAAACCGGAACCGGAACTGGAACCAAAACCGTAACTTGGGGGGTCTTCTTTGGGACCCCGACGAACGAAGAAACCAGAACCAAAACCAGAACCGAAACAAGAACCAAAACTGGAACCAGAACCAGAACCGGCACCAGAACTGGAACCGGAACCGCAACCGTGTCCAGGACTGGTCTTGGTTCTGGTCGTGTGGCGTAGGAATTCCGACCGCGACCAAGATCAGGAATGGTTCTGGTCGCGGTCGGTCGCGGACTGGCCTGTTGATTGAGCTATTGCAATAATGTATGTGCCCCGACCGCGCCCTGCCCGAGACCAAAACTGGCATTGGTCACTGTCTCCTGGCGGCACTATCCTGATAGTGCACCCCGACCGCGACCAGAGTCTGGCAACACAGAGTTGGCTTAATTTACTTTGGCGGTGAAGCCTGCCCAGCAGGGGGGGGGCTAGTGAAACAGAGGGGCGCGTCTAGCACCAAAGAAATTGTTTGAACTCACGTGTTAATCAGCTTGGGGAGGGGCCTTGCCGAGCAGAGGGTGCTGCACCACAGCGGAGCACATCAAGCACCAAGTCTGCTGCTTGCTTCATCAGCTTGGGGAGGGACCTTGACTAGCAGAGGGTGCTGCACCACAGCTGGGCACGTCCAGTACCAAGATTTTATATATATATATATAGATATAGATATAGATAGATTGATAGATAAGATTTGGGAAGGGCCCTGCCTAATAGAGGGTGCTGCACCACACAGGGGCACGTCTAATACCAAGGATGTTATCCGGCGCCGAAAACGCGATTTGACGACTCGATTCGCCCACGGAGTTGCGGTGACGCCTCTATTCCGCTGACGCCTGGTGAAGCTCGTGAAGCCTCTATTCGGCCTGAAGCCTCTATTCCCCTGACGCCCGATGAAGCTCGTGAAGACCCTATTCGACCTGAAACCTCTATTCGGCCTGAAGCCTGCATTCGGCCCGTGACGCCTCTATTCGGCCTACGAATTGCGACGCTCTGGTGGGGTGGCGACCCTAGACGCCTCTATTCGGCCTGAAACCTCTATTCCCCTGACGCCCCGTGAAGATCGTGAAGTCTCTATTCGGCCTGAAGCCTCTATTCCCCTGACGCCCGGTGAAGCTCGTGAAGCCTCCATTCGGCCTGAAGCCTCTATTCCCCTGACGCCCGGTGAAGCTCGTGAAGCCTCCATTCGGCCTGAAGCCTTTATTCCCTGACGCCCATTGACGCTCGTGAAGCATCTATTCGGCCTGAACCCTCTATTCCCCTGACGCGCATTGAAGCTCGTGAAACCTCTATTCGACTTGACGCTTCTATTTCGCCTGGGCCTCATCCTCCGGGATGCACAGCTAGGCTGGCTGCGTGGCACCGTGGTGCTTCTTAAACGCCTAACCGGTGGGCAGTGCCTGACAAAGGGTGCCGCACAGCATATGGGGCACGTCTATCATCAAGGATTCATTTTAAATCAACTTGGGGAGGGGTCTTGCCTAGCACAAGGTGCCGCACAGCAGATGGGGCACGTCTAGCACCAAGGATTCATTGTTTATCATCTTGGGGAGGGGTCTTGCCTAGCAGAAGGTGCCGCGCAGCAGGTGGGGCACGCCTAGCACCAAGGATTCTGTGTTAAATCAACTTGGGGAGGGCTCTTGCCTATCAGAGGGTACCGCACAGCAAAGGGGCATGTCTAGCACCAAGGATTCTGTTGTAATCAACTTGGCGAGTGGTCTCTTGGGATCTCTTGGAGGTTACCTGGGAGCCTCGGGAGCCGTCGGAAGGCCGACTTGGGCTGCTTGGGAGCGTCTTGGAACATCCTTTCGCATTCTGGGGGCTCCTTGGAGTCGTCTTGGGCCATCCTGGAGCGCTGTGGAGGCTCCCCGAAACGCCCGGGGGAGCGGTACCGGGAGCGTTCCCGAGATGTCACGGGGAGGTGTGGCACCCGGGGCCGGGGGGGCGGAATTTGTCTATTATGTATATTTACATATGACTCTCTCTCTCTCTATATATATATGTGTATATGCACACACATACACACACATATCTATATATCTATATATATACCTACACATATATGAATGTATTAAGAGGTGTGTGCATACACATATATATATATATATATGTACATATGTATATATATATGTATATATATAAGACTGCAGTGGCGCTTCGCGCCATGCACCTTGGTCCTTGAAGTTTGGTATGCAGGCGGAATGGCAGGAAGGTCAAACCGACAATTTAGCGATAACTCCTGGTTGCCTTTTTCCGGCATCGCCGCTATAATGATGTTGTTCGTTATCCTTCCTCCATGGTTATTGTTCCTTATTTTCGCCATACCCTGCGCATTCTCCCCATCCTCCTCAGCTCTTTTTTGCGGAGGCTCCTCCTTGGAGAGCCTCTAGGGGCCTCACAAAAGTTGTTTCGGGCTTTCTTAAGGCCTTCTGGAGGCCTCCTGGGCGTATTCTGGGGGCCTCCGGGGGTTTCCTCGGGCCACCCTGCCTCCAACCGCCGTCTCCCTGAACGACCGAGTCACGATTTGGAATTCTTCGAAGGGTGTCTTTGGGACATCTTGGGCCGCCATGGGGCTCTCTGAGGGCCATCTTGGACCCGTGTTGTGCCGTTTTGGGGCTTTCTTGGACTGCCTGGAAGCCCTTTCGGATGGTTGTGGGGCGATTTGGGAACCTCCTAGGCGGCTTCGGACGCCCAGAAGACCGCCGTCTTGGAGCGTCGGGAAGCCGAAAAGAGGAGAACCCCACAATTCACCAAACACCAACAGAACATCCATGATTTTTGCCTCGGGGGGCCTTCTTGGGAGTGCTCTTGGAGGCCTCTTTGGGGCCGTCCTGGAGGCCTCTTGGGCCATCTTGAGGTCACGTCGGTCACTCTTGGAGCGCTCTTATGCTGTCTTGGGGGTCTCGGGGACGTCTCCGATGACCCCCTGATCGCCCTAAGTGTGCTGGGAAGGCTTGGCAAAACGCCTTGCGAGGCCCAGTGGCCGCTTCAAAGCCCGTCCGGAGGGCCCCAAAGCCCCAGGTCCCGGGAGTCCGGTTTTGGGGGGTGGGGGTCCCCCCGCCCGGGCTTATAGAAATATAGGAAGAGGAACCCACACATATATATATATATATATATATATATTTATATTTATATATATATATATGTATATATATACATATACACATACATATCATATGCGCGCTCCCGAAGCCACGCTCCTGGGACGGGCGATATCGAGGAACAAGAAACGGGATAAGCATCATTTCTCTGAGGTCTGTGCAAATTTCTTGACCCATCGCTGGACCCTGTGCCCTGGCGCGTGGAGCGCGCCAGGGGCAACGCCGGAGGCGCCGCCAAGGCCTCCAGCGCAAATTCCAAGAAACCTGCGCGGAGCTCGTCTCCTCTCGAGGCGGGCGACAATCAGATCCACGCGTGGTAACTTTTCATACTGGGCTTTTCCGCTCCGCTTCGGGCCCCAGGGCCCTCACAATTGGACCCGCTTTGCAATGTGGCGTTGAGCGATGTGGTCTAGGGCTGCAGTCACGATGTGTCACGATCTTTCAATTGTTCGCGACGTCGGATCTCAGGGAAGGAAGCGAAGCGAAGCGAAACGAAGCGAAGCGAACGCCGAAGTCGTGCGCGCTCCGCTAGAGAGCCCGCCCGTGTCCATCAGGGCCTGGCGTGGAAGCCGTGGCCTCAAAAGTATGCTGCGTGCCCGGACTCACGCGATGACCACCGTTCGTGGAAGACGCTGAGGCGGACGAGACGGGGGGACTATTAAGCAAAGGAAGTTGAGCGAATCAGATCGCGCAGCTGGCTTGCCTGGCGCCTCCCGGTGCCAGGGAGCCGCCAGTGTATCCAGGAAAGGCGCCTGGCGGCAGGGCCGCGCCCCCTCTCCCAGTCCGTAATCTTTTGTCCGAGGCCCGATCCTCTCGGACGCCGTCGCCCCCGACGTGCTGGTGCACCTCCATCTGCCCGAAGTACGCCTCCGGTAGAAGAAGCTGCAAAGCATAGACTTTCGGTGGTCCGTGTGGATTTCCATGGGCAACTATGTTCGCAGTTCGCGAAGCGAAAATAACGGGGGTGAAGAGAACAACGAGGATGAGGATGACGACTCGCGAATCGCGAAGAACGTCGCGTCCTTGTTGCGGCCCTTGATTTCTTGGGTCTGCGCAGGACGACACCCCTGGCGGCTCCTGGCGCACTCCGCACGTCAGGTAGGGGGGTCCAGCGCGGATCCAAGAAATCCGCACGGGCCTGCCAATGTTTACGCTTGTCTTGATTCAATACCTCCACATGAGTGGCTTCAAACTCGGCGGCCCGCGAAAAGGGGAAGGCAGAGGGGGCGGGCCTTCCCAGAAGGCTCAGAAGGCCTCCGGTCCTCTGACAAGCTTCTCTCTTTTTGGAAGACCCAAAAGTTTCTGAGAATCCATGCAGCAATCTGAGAAGGCGGGCCCCTTCTGCCTTCCCCTTCGGGCACACCGCCGGCAAGCAGTGTATGTTCAGATGAGAATCCACGCGAACCTACCAAAATGTATGATTATGCGGTCTTCTCTTCTCCGAGCCTCTCTGTCAACGTTCAGCTCCCAAAAGCGTCCCACGAGCGACCAACATCTGAATCCGCTACCGTGCCCTCCGTCACGTGTCTACTAGGGCGCCTCAAGACGCACACACAGACACACACACACACACACACACACACACACACGCACGCACGCACGCACGCACGCACGCACGCACGCACGCACGCACACACACACACACACACACACACACACACACACACACACACACACGCACACACACACACATACACACACTTACACTTCGCGAGAGGCGAGGCAAACTATGGGTTATCCACGGCCGCCCTACCGATGTGCTTCGAGGCCTCCCACATAGGGTCCGATCAGATTGGGTCTGAGGATCACGCCGCATTGCCGACGCATCGGCGACGGGCCACGTACCAGCGACGTCGTCGATGCATGGGAGCCGTCGGCGTGGAGAAAATGGGGCTCCACATCGACCCGCATCGCCAGTGCATCGGCGATGCGGCGCGATCCTCCGAACCGATCTACACTGACCCCATCAGGGAGACCAGAACGGCAAGAAACTGGGAAAAAATCAACCGACCCTACCAGCGTGTGTGGGGTGTCTGTCCGGTCCCGTCGACGGGGAGCCTTATTTCGTCCCCTCCTTCCCATCCCCCTCTCCCGTCGGGGGGGAGAGAGTGCACCCTTCCTCGTTCGGGGAACGGGTTCGCTGCTTGAGGTAATTCCATCTACGTCCTCATTACGTCAAAGGGAAGCCCCTTCCCTGTGTCCCTTCCCAGGCGAGGGGGGGTCCGAAGGGGGGGGGTCAAATTCGCATCGCCGGTCCTCCTCTCCCACGCCGGTCCTTCTCCGGCGCGTCCGTCCTCCTCGGGTCCTCCTCCGCGAGTGCGGAGGAGCACCATGGGTTGGGAGGGGAGTCAGATACGCATCCGTCCCTGGAGGTCCTCCTCCCCCTCCCCTCCCCTCCCCCCTCCCACGCCGGTCCTCCTCCGGTCCTCCTCCCCAAGGGGGGGGGCAAGGCGAGAGTCCTTTTCCTCCTCCTTCTCCTCCTCCTCCTCCTCCTTCTCTCCGCCTCCTCCTCCTCCTCCTCCTCCTCCTCCTCCTCCTCCTCCTCCTCCTTCTCCTCCTCCTCCCCCTTCCTGTCGTCGTGATGTCTTTCAGGGTCGCGGGCCCTGGCATCGTCCCGTCAAAAAAACAACAAAAAAAACAACATAAACCAAAAAGGCATTCACACACAAACTAAGAGAAACCCTATCCAAAAAACAAGCCAAAAAAAAGACAAAAACAGGGAAGCGCTAAAAAAAGCGTACAGAAAACCAGAAAACCCAAAAGAATACAAACCAACACACGAAAGAAAACAAAACATCACACACCCAAAAGAGAAATGAAAAACATACGCATAGGCAACAAGTCGCAACAAAGGAAAAACAAAAAACCATAAAAAGGAAGGACGCATCGGGCGCCGCGGCCGGCTGCCGGCCCCCAGCAGTGGCCGTTTTCAGAAAAAAGAAAAACAGAAAAAAGACAGAAAAAGAAGAACCAAAAAAAAAAAATCCCAGAACAAAAAAAAAAAATACAGAAGACGGCTCCCCATACATGCCGTGTCTGGATTGTTATAATGCGGAGTTCCCAGTGAAGCACCTCGAGTGGGTGCTTCGCGATGGCCTGCGGGCCGAGGCTGGCAGCAGGGCAGATGCTGCCGCCCAGGCACCACACTCGCCCAGGCCGCCCAGATTAGCCCACAAGATGTGGGACGGGTGTAGACAGGCTTGAAGAACCACCGTTCAAAGCGAACACCCCGCGAAGAAGAAGCCCCCGAGTGAACGCGCCCAGGGAAGGAACCAAGGAAGGGCAGGACTGATGACCAAAAGCCCAAGACCGTCTCTCTCCATGGCTGGTTCCTTATCCCGAGCGAACTCTGTTGACGGTCCCGGTGCCCGGCGAGGGCCCCCAGGGGCCGAGCACGAACCCAAAGCCCTTCCGTCGTGATCACGATGCGAGCACGTCTGAGCCTGGAACGCTATGGCACGATTATCTCCAGGGTGTGCTGGAAGATGTCGCTTCATTTCGTCGGAATTTCATGTCGTTCGCCTTGGCTCAACATGTTCGATGCGTCCTGTTCGATTCGCCCGCTTCGACAGGCGGACGAAACGAAAGAGGACGAAACGAAGGAGGACGAAACGAAGGCGGGCGACACGAAAAAGGACGAAACGAGGGACGAAACAAAAGCGGACGAAACGAAGGAGGACGAAGCAAAGAAGGACGAAACGAAGGAGGACGAAACAAAGAAGGCCGTTTCGAAAGAGGACGAAACGCGGGCGGACGAAATGAAAATAATCGCGGACGCACTGACCCCTGGTCCATGAAGACCTGTGTCAGTCAGGCTTGGCAGGAACCTGCAAAATCCTACGAGATCCTGCACGCAAGCCTGGGTCACTGCACCCCCTGGCCCTGCAGGACCAAGATCCGGCGCTCTGGCTGCGATGGCTCAAGGGATGGGGTCCTGAGAGATGGAGACCAAAGGATGGAAAGGGATCCAAGGGTGGGCTTACGTTATCTGAGGCACCTCGTCCTTAGGACCCCATCCCTCAGGACCCCATCTTTGAAGCACCGATGGCTAACCCCCGTCGGCAGTGACCCCCGTCACTTGAGCCTTCGGTCGGGCATGTCCACCCACAGGTGGATTTTGGACGAAATAACAAATTCTCGAAAATTGTTTTAAAAATAACCCAAACTCGTCCAAACATCGTCCCAAAACTATTTTTCGACGATTTTTGAATACTTCTCCTGTAGAGGGACAGGCCCGACCTAACTTGAGCCCCAAGGTCCCCCGTGCTTTGGAGGTCGGAAAGTGGTGTGGCATAAAGGGGTATGGTGCCAATCGTGGAAATGGCGATGCTATCTGCGATCGGTAGCATTGCCAGATTCCCCTTTACATGAAATTAGCACCACACCCCTTTACACCATACCCCTTTCCTCTTTCCAGAATTGCTGGGGGCCCCCGGACCCCCAGAGGGCCCGGCTGGCGGGAAGGCCGGAGGCCGCCGAACAGGTATGCCTCCGCCTGCGCGTAGCCGGCGGCCAGGCGCTCGTCCAGGTCACCGGAGTAGCGCGGGAGCACCACCTCTTGGGACGCAGAGGGGCATACCAGCACTATACCCATCGGTCGGAAGAAGTAGGTGGAAACATGAAGTAGGAAGGCGTTGAAAATATATTGGATTCCGTCCGCCCCCTTGGGAGGACGGAAAAGGTGAATCCACTCGACCATTGAGGTAGGAAGGCGCTTAAAATAGATTGGGATATGAGAATCCAGAAGTACCTATTTTCAACGACCGATGGGTACGTGTCCTCCTCGGAGGCGTGCGTCCGATGTTTGTTTGGCCAGTGCAGCTCTGGAGGGCGAAGAGGGAGTGGAGCGGACAGCACCACGACACAGCACCTCCGCGAAGCGACCCTGAGCGCACTGCTACAAGAACATATCTTGAGATGGTGGCGCTTATGCGAAATGCTTCTTCTTCGAACTGTCCCCCCGATCCAGGCAGCCCCCCGGAACGCCTGATCGGACAGCGGGGCGTCGGACGTGGCCACGGACTCCCCCTCCTCCTCCATCCCTTTTCCTTACAGATAACCCATCCCTGTCGCATTGCGAGGCGTGTCGGTAGGGCGGGCCAGGCGTTTCGCCAGAGACTTCCTCACCATCCCTGATCCTTAACATGCAGAATTGCCAAGGATGGAGGGCAGCCCGTTTTCAAAACGTGGCTCTAGCCTTTGCGCCGCCACTATCGTCGAAAAAATATTCAAAAGTTTCACAGGGCGGGCCGTTTTCAAAATGAGGCTCTCGCCGTAGCGCCACGCACATTCGTCTTAACATTTTGCAACAACTTCCCGGATGGAGGGCGGACCGCTTTTTTTTATGCGCTGCGCACAGTCTTTCTAAGACTTTCAAGAGCCTCAGGGATGGACGGCGGGTTGTTTTCAAAATGTGGCTCCCGCCTGGGCGCTCGTTTAAAAATGTGCACAAGCTTCACGGGTAAAAGGCGGGCGACTTTCAAAATATGGTTCTCGCCTGAACGCCGCGCACAGTCGTCTTAAACATGTGCAACAGTTTCACGGATGAAAGGCGGGTGGCTTGCAAAATGGGGCTCTCGCTTGAGTTCCACGCACATTCTTCTGTGAAGGCTGCAACAGTTTCATGGATGTAAGGTGGCTCCTTTTTCCAACATGTGGTTCACGTCCTAGCGCCACGCACCATCAGTTGCATAACAGTTTCAAAGCGCTTCGTTCGCCTCCCTGAAATGGTGTTTCGGCAAGATGTCTGAGTGCCAGCGCGCAACAGTTTCTTAGATTCGCGGTGTTGACGTCCCAGGATTGGTTTTCTGGCACGATTCAGGATCGTCAGGACGCAACAATGACGGTGATTCGCGGCGTTGAAATCCCAAGAATGGCGTCATGGCGCAATTCAGGACTTTCAAGCGGCTGTTTTCCAACGGGGCACTTCAGTCAGCTGTAATGAACCATGTAGGGCCCTATGAAAAATTGATTTTGGACGGCAGGTCTATTGCAATATCATTGATGAGTTTTGGGTTTCTAATGGTCCTCCTCCTCCATTCCTTCTCTTCATGACTAACTCCTCCCTGTCGCACCCGTAGGCTGGTCGCAAGGGCGGGCCAAGTGTTGCGCTGGAGATTTCATCACGATTTATGACCCTGAAGCTTGACATCTGCAGCACTTTCACGGATGGAGGGCGGGCCTTCGCCATAAAACTCTCGAGGGTCTCACGGAAGGAAAGCCGGTCGATTGCAAAATGTGGTTCTCCAGTTAGCGCCGCGAATATTCGTCTTTAAATAACGCAACCGCTTCACGGATGGATGCTTGTCCCTTTTCACCATGAGGCTCTCGCCTCAGCGTCGCGCGCATTCGTTTTAAGAGCTTTACACGAGTACTCTGGCAGGGTGTCGGACCGTCAGGGCGCAACATGCACGCTGAGCCGTGGTGCTGAAATCCCCACAAATGGTTCTCTGGCAAGGTCAAAATGGTCACAACACAATCGTAACGGTGAGTCGC